GAGCAGGCCGCCTGCGTCGACTTGAGGATCGAGTGCTAAGTTTCGTTGCGTTTTCAGCGCGGCAGTCAAGATACGGCCATGGCATTGCATCGGGAGGTTATTTGCAGAGGCGATGTCGTCACAGGGCGTTTCAGTTGGTCAGGAAGTCAGCGTTGCCACGCCAATCCAGGACGGTTCGGCGCTGTGGGGCCGCAGCGCCGCCACGCTGGACGGCTCGGAGGGCCCGGGTGGCATTGGCAGCGCCGTGGACGAAAGGTTTGAAGCGGCTTCGGTGCGCGGCGAAGGTCCCCCAGGACAACAATTCTTCACGATCGAAGGAACACTGGGTGCGCGGTGCGTGGATCTGGGGTGCGCTGAGGGCTTCGCGGGCAAAGGGGCGCTGACAGTCTATGAACAGAGGTGGAATGGCACTGCGAAGGTCAGGATGGCAACGGCCGGGTTGCGCGCTCACGCAATCGAGTTTGGGCCCATGCTTGGGTCGATGGGCGGCCGGCCAGGATCTGCCCGCTCATCGCAGATGGATCGACGCCGCTTTTGCTCCTGCCGGAGAAGTGCGCGAACCATTGGACTGGGAAACTTGCATTTTGACGGGGGCGTGGGGCATTTCATAGGCTTGAGCACTTCAGCGCCGTTTATGACGTCCTAGGCAGGGCCGTTCACTGCCTCGTCGACTTGTGCTGGGCGCCTTCGGAGGTGCCATCGCACTCGCCTGGCGGATGGCGGATGGCGCGCGCGCGTGTTTTGTGCTGAAACTCCTTAGAGAAATAAGGGGGAAGCATCGTCAGTGTCACAGGCTGGGGGGGAGGGGGGGGGGGGGCGAGGTGGGCGCGAGTGCCAAGTTGGAGCAGACCCAGAAGGTGGCCTTGAACGCAAGAGTTCGGCAGCAGGCATCCAATTATTAGCCAGGGGCAGCTCCCGAAGCTGGTCGAGAATTTGAGCGTCGCGGAGGTCTTAGCAGCTGGTGGATAGTCGGCGGTTTTCTTGGGGATGGATGTCGAGTGCTTGGGCGGCTCAACGAGCCTGGCCGAACGGGCGGACGGGCCGCGACAAACGCGCTGCGATCGCAGCATCGCGGCGGGCAGACTGCAGGGCGGCGCATGCTGGAGTCGATCCATCGAGTCCTAGTCGAACACGGTTCTAGAATCAACGTTTCTCGGAACGACGGGGGTCTTTAGGGAAGGGGGGCGGCGAACGAGTTGTGCGCGCTGGCGGCGACTGATGATGAATCGCGGATCCGACGGGCCGCGGGTCGACTTCGCTGATGCTCCGGACATCCAGCGAACGACGTGCCATCGCGCATTCTCAAACATGGATGCGCGGTTGAGTCAGGTCCGGCAGTGGCCGGGCGATGGACCCGCGGCACCTGCAGGCAGGCAGAGTGGCCCAAAGTTTTCTTGCAGGCAGTTCCAGCAAAGGATGCCCCCCGCGTGGGGGCCAGGCACCGCGCGCCCGCTGGAAGGATTGGCCAGCGGACCCGCGGCGTTCAGGGCACGGAGCATGGGGGGCACGGGGCGCCGTCTGCAGCAGAAGGGCCCTTCCCCGATTCGAAAACGGACTCGCCGCCGAGGCTGCTCTAGCGCGGGCGCCAGGTGCGACATCAACTACCCCGGGCGAAGATCAATCGCGGCGCGGCGCGCGAGGGCGAGAACACGGCGAACGGCGCGGAGCGCCTCGGCGCCGCGTTGGTCGACGCGGCCGCGGGAGACGCCCGCGCGCGGAATGCGGGGGCGGAGGCGCGCTGTCAGCGCGTCGAGCTGGCATTGTGGAACGTCTTCGCCGACCAGCGCGCGACGGCCAAGGCGACGTTGCCATGGGCAGTTGCCGCGGTCAGTGGTGGCGCGAGGAACCCTCTGGCGAAGGGGCAGGTTCTTCGCGGTGCCAAATGGGTCTTCGGACAAGATCCACCGCGGCCAGACGAGGCCACGCGCGGGGAGGAGTGCGCCGGGCGAGCTAGAAGTCCCGGAAGGGGGCTTGACGGGCGACGTTGGGGCGCGAAGATGACGGGGCATCGCGAGCTGCGCCGGGCCCGGGACCACGCGCGCGGCGATCGTTCATGCCCGGGGGGCCCGCGTTCGTCTGCCGCGGAGGGGGGGCGGCGGCAGGTGCGCAGCGAACGCCGGGCAGGCAGGACTGGCCAGGATCGCAGGCAACGCGAGGGGCCACGTGGCGATCGCGTCTGGCGGCCAGCGGCTGCTCGCGGCAGTTGCGACCTGGGGGGCATCGGGCCGCGGCGGCCAACATGATGGCGGGGGTGATTTCAGAAGAACGGCGACGTCAGGAGCAGCGACCGCGCGGCGCAACGTCGCCGAGGACGGCGTGCTCCAGGAGCGGACGGGCACGATGCAGATGGCGCTGCGCTAGAGGGGCGACCTCGCGCGTGAGGGGGGGGGGGCCCTGTCGCAAAGAAGCCGGCGCGCGGGCGCCCGCAGGAGATAGAGAGGGACATTCCGTCTGTGCAGATAGAGATTCAGCGCGGCCGGGCGGCGCATATTTGGCGTGGCAGCGGTGGGGGGCATTAACTGCGGACGGGAGCTCAGTCGGCATATTGCAGCGTCAGCCTTAAGTGACTAAGCTACTTAGTTGCAGTGGCGCTGCGGGAGGCACGCGGCCGATGCCACCTGCAGCGACGACGGTTCGCGACAACGCGAGCAGTTCACAGACCGCGCCCTGGGCCCCCCAGGAAAGAGCTCTGGGGGCAGGAGAAGCCAGCATCATTTCTGCACGCACCTCGCGCGCTCTGGCCTCAAAGGCCCCGCCAGCGGCCCCAGTAGCAGGGCCAGCGTGGCGGCCCCGCCTCATGCTAGCGCGCCCCGCATTTGCGCTGCGAGGGCGACGCCCGCTGCGCGGCCGAGCGGCGATCACAAACGAATTGGCGCTGCGCGCCTTTGCGAAGTCCAGTGGCGAGCAGACTCGAATAGCAGGCGTTGGCTCGCACCCCCGGCGTTGCCGCGCGAGGAGTAGACTGAAGAAGCATTCGTCTCGCTTCCCTGGCATCGCCCCGTGGCGAATGTAGCCTTTGCCGCCCCCCCCCCCCTCCCCCTCCCTTCGGCGGTTTTCTTTGCCGCCCCGCTGCGTTGCCGCGCGATGAAAACAAAAACAAGCGCGCATGTTCCTCTTGCCTCCATGCGGTGCATCGTGGCCCGCAATGTGGAGTAGAATTTGCTTCGCCCCCTCCCTCCTCAGGTATTGCTATGGAGCGCGGGCGACGATTAAAGTGGAATGTTGTTAGTCTCCTCCTTTCCGAGACGCCATGCGACGAGTGCGAACCAAATCGTTGTTCATCCGCGCCGTCGCTTTGCCATCTGTCGCGTCGAATAGAGCGGCGTTTCTTGCCGCCCCGCTGCGTTGCCACGTGGCGGGTAGAGCAGACTTCAAAGCTCGATTCGCCACAGGGGCGCTGTAACGTGACGAGAGGCGCGGGGGTCGTGTTTGCGTCGCCTTCCAAGTGTTGCAACATGACGAGCTGAGGTCAGCACTCTTAATGTTGACTTCCGTCTCACTTTTGTCCGTTCCTCCCCTTCGGGCGTTGCCACGTAAAGAGCATGGTCGAGTCGTCGTGGTTCTCGCCCTTGCGAAGATTCGCATGCGAGGAGTGGATCTGAATGGCATGCGCTCCGCCCCGTGCGGTGCCTACTGGGGAGCGCAATCGGATTGCATGTGATGGGGTTCCCCAGGGGTTGCCTCGTGACGAATCGAGTGGGATGGCATGTGTTTCGGTCTTCCGGGCGTTGCCACGTGACGAGTAGGGTATGAATAGATTTGCCCACCTGTTGCGTTGCCGCGTGGTTGTGGCGAGTATCATGGTAAATTGTTGTTGTGACACCCGAAGCGTTGCCGCATGATGAATGATTCGAGGTGTGTTGCTGTTTGGGCATCCAGGCGTTGCCACAAACGGGCGGGCGGGCGCGCGACGGGACATGCGGGCCAGCGACCCGGCGAGAAAACAGGCTGGCAAACAGGGGGTGGGTATTTGCGTGGTTTGCGGTCGGGCCGGCGCGTGGCCGCGCGGTCGGGTTGGTGGGCGGCCGGGCGGGCCCGCGGGCGGTCGGTCGGGCGAGCGGGTGCGTGGGCGGACGGGCGACGGGGCGCGGGCGTTCGGATTGCGGTGGTTGGTGTCCGGTCCGGGGTGTCAGGGGCACGGTTGGGTTGTCGGTGTTCGGGAAGGCTCGGGTGGGACAGTGCGCATGTTCGGTCTGATCGATGTCGGCACACGCCTCGCATGTCCCGTGACGCATCGGAAGCATGTCGTGTTTTTGTTGGTCCCGCTGGGAGCGCAATTGGGTTTGCCTGGCGTTATCCCCTGGTTCATTGGGCGTGAATTTCTTGGTTCGCGGGGCCCGTTTTTTTGGTTCACCAGTCGACCATGGGGATGGGAAGGAGGAGAAACACGAAGAGCAAGAAGATGAGGAGGAGGAGAAGGAGGAGGAGATGAAGAGTGGATATAGTGGAGGAGGAGGAGCACGAAGTGGAAGAGGAAGAGGTGGAGGAGGGGAGGTGGAGGAGGCGGAGCAGAGGAGGAGGCGGAGGAGGAGGACGAGCACGACGACGGCGACGACGACGAGACAAACGAAGGAGGAGGAGGCGGAGGAGGAGGCGGAAGAGGGAGGGAAGGATGGGAGAAGCAGGACGAGGAGACGGAAAAGGAACAGGATGAGGAAGAGGAACATGAGGACGTCTCTCTTTCCTGCCGTCCACGTAATGTCTGCGCTTTGTGCCTTTCCGTTTGTGGTGGTCGTCGCTGCTCCGTCCTGGAGGTCGTCGCTTTGGCTCCAGGGTTGAAACTGAAGGTTCTGCGATTCGGTCTTTGCGAGAACATGTGGCTCGTGTTTTCAGATTCAGGGTTCCGACTGGCATCTGTGTTGCCCGCCCCACTCTCTCTGTGCATCACCACCTCCTTCGTTTCCCCACTCACTCCCTTCTGTCTTCCATTCATTTTCCCTATGATTCCCCGTCAATTCTGCTCACCCGTGCACTCGCCCATGCGAGCGCGCACGCGCGAGGCAGCGCCAAACGTGCCGACCGGGACTCGGACAGCGATCCAGAGGCCGATCCGACTCTTCTGGAGAGGGTACAGGGTGCAGAATGGCTGGGGTCCTCTCCGCCACCCTTCCTGGACGGAGCACGTCTGGGTCAGCATGGTGAGGGTTCGGGCACACGTGTTGTTCGTGTGTGTACGATGCGAGGGCAGGGCAAGGGCAGTGGAGCTGGGACGGGTGGGCCAGGCTGGGGAATCAGAGGAGGAGAACCAGCAGGAGGGAGTGACGGAGGCAGGCGCGAAGGAGGAGGACGAGGAGGATGTAAAGGAGGAAGACGCGAGCCACGTGTCTCGTTGTGTCTCTCCCCTTCCCTGAGATCCCCCGCCCATCCCCTTCGCCCGCATGGTCGCGCAGTCGTGGTACATGCGTTCGCGCATTCTGCCTGCTGCGCCCGCGCATTCTGCCTGCTGCGCCCGCGCATCTCTCCCGCTGTGCCAACCCACCACCCCTTCATCCTCCACGCTGCCCCGCCTTGCCCGTCGTTGTGCCTTTTGTGGTCTACACCGCCGAGAGAGAGAGAGGGAAAAAAGCGAGATATTCAGATCTATCCAGCTGCCTGAGGCAAGTCCCGCAACCGTGCCGGCCGAGCATTCTGGGTAGCGACTGTTCGAGGGTAGCAGGGCTGTGATGATGGTGATGGTGATGGCGATGATGATTAATACGATGCTGATGTTGGTGGTGATGAGGATGATGGTTGAGATGACGATGGTGAAGACGAAGACACTGATGATGGCCATGATGATGGTGATGATGATGATGATAATGATGATAATGATGATGATGATGATGATGATGATGATGATGATGATGATGATGATGGGGATGATGTTGATGATACTGGTGATGATGACGATGATGAGGGGTGAGGATGAGTACGAGGCTGATGGTGACAGTGCTTGCGTTGATTATGGTGTTGGTGGGGATGGTCATGCTGATCAGGACGAGGCTGATGATGATTATGATGTTGATGATGAAAATGCTGCGGATGATGATGATGTTGATGATGGTGGTGGTGGTTATTGTGATATTGATGCTGATAATGATGATGCTGATGATCATGGTGGTGGTGGTGGTGATGATGCTGATGATGATGCAGAGTAGAAGAAAGGATCAGGATGTATATGATATTCTGGATGAGGACAATGCAGATGCGGATGATGGTGATGCTCATGGTGATGATCATGATGATGACGATGACGATGACTATGGAGATACTAATGATGACGATCATGGTCATGATGATGATGATGATGATGACGATGATGATGATGATCAGGAGCAGAAGCAGGATCAGGATACAAATCAGGATCATAATCAGGACGATGATTAGGATGAGGATGATGACGACGACGATGATGATACTGATGATGATGCTGCTGATGGCGATGATGATAATATGAATGATGTTGATGATGCTGATGATGATGATGATGATGCTGATGCTGATGCTGATGCTGATGATGATGCTGATGATGATGATGATGAGGAGGATGAGGATGAGGATGAGGATGAGGATGAGGATGAGGAGGAGGAGGCGGAGGAGGAGGAATAGGAAGACCGTCACATGTGTGTCACCAGTCGTTTTAACTGTCTTGACCTCCTGTGAGCCAGTCTTGGAAGTCCCTCGGGGCCCCCTTGGGCCGTTCTGGTGCCCTCTGTCGTGGTGTGGTCCTCTTTGCTGTATGGTGGGTGCCTGTGGGCCGTCGTGGCGCCGTCTTGGTCTATCGGAAGGCCTTGTAAGGCCGTTATGTCTTCCACGGGAGGCTCCTTTGGGCAGTCTTGGGGCCGCCTTGGATATCTCTTGGGTCATCTTGGGGCCTCTTGGGCCATCTTTGGACCCTCTGGGGGGCCCTCTTGGGCCGTCTCGGAGCCGTCGTGGAGGCTTCTCGGGCCATCGTGAGCTGACGAACGCCCGGGAAGGCGAGACTGCGAACATCATTCAGAAACCCGTGGGAAACCAATGATTTGGGCTTCATCGGGCCCTGGTGGAGGTCTTATTGTTGGCCTTTGGGGCCCTCTTGGAGGCAACTTGGGCCGTCTTCATGCCATATTGGGCTGCCTTGGTGCCACCTTGGGCTGTCTTCGAGGCATCGTGGGCCATCTTGGTTTCAGTGGTTGCCTCAATGGGCCGTCTGGGAAGCTCGGAAGAGGCGTGTTCTGTGGAGCTTGTGAAGGCTCGGGGGAAGCTCGACCTTGAACGAGGGGGGGGGGGGGGGGGGCGAGATGCAAGGGGGAACCGCGGGGCTCGAACCGCGGTGAGTGGGGGAGGGGTCTCGAGGGTGGGGCTCCTCCTCCTCCTCCCCCTCCTCCTCCTCCTCCATCCTTCCGTTGCAATTTTGGCTCAAGGTGGGGACAGGCCCCATTTGAGTTGAGGCAGCCTCTTCCGCGTTGCCACCCTGGTTCAGACCCAGGCGGACACCCATCGTGCCGGCTGTCGAGCTCATGCTCGAGCAGGCAGCCGTCTTGTGCTGTGTCTCTCGTTCTTTCCGAGGCATGTCTCTATCGGGCTGCGCTCTCACACAGGTCGAGCATTTACTAGACTCGAGGTTTACCCCGATGACAGCTAGGCTCGACGGTTTCGTCACCGAGATCCAAGCCTTCGATCTAATGCCCGACGACTGCATCGCCGAGATGCGACTTGAGCAGGCCAGTGCGCAGGAAGCCACCAGCGACCTGCAGGTGCAGGCGTGCAGCGCCCCTCCTTTCGCTGCCACTCCCCCCTGGTGGTGCAGACGTGGCACGTGGAGGCGCCTGGTCACGTGCATCGTCGCCCCCCGTCACAGCTGCGCAGCTCGGGGCCCGCCTGAGCGTGATGGCCCTCACCGAAGCTGTCACGGCCATGGTCTCGGCTGCCCCTTCCTCTGCGGGTTCCGATCCATGGGGTGCTTTTGAACGCTCGTCAGGTGCTAACCGTCCTCACGTCCGATCCCCAGCTTACGTTCGCCAGTGCGCCGTTCCCCCCAATCTTTCTTCGTCGCCCTCCTGCGTCGCAGCGGGAGATCTTTGCAAGATCTGGCCCAGAGTTTCCCCCGCAAGCTCCTCTCGAGGGTGTTCCTGCTCCACTCCGCCATGTTGAAGGCAGCTGCAGGTGCTCTATTGAAGGCGCGGCTGCTCAGTGTCAAAGCTACAAGAGAACGCTAAGGCTTTGATCTCGTGGGGAAAAGAGTCGGCCTCTTCGCCCTCCCTGTCGTGGAGGAGCCCGCAGAATCATGAAGACATTGTGTTCGGCCAGCCTCTGCGTGTTCGGTACAAGAGTTTCGCCCTCGGCAAACGTTCGGAAACAATGAGGAAGTTGCCCATTGCCACTGGCATCTGGAAGGACTCGCACACCGTCGGCTCCAATCCGCACTCGGGCGACTTGCATCTCACGTGCTCAGCCGAGGAGGAGATCTACGATCTGGTGAGGCTGAGCCCTGGTTATGACTGTGGAGGAGAGAAGGACGCGTTCTCGGTCGTTGTCCTGGATGACACGAAGGCCTTCGAAATCCCCGAGGCGTTGTTGGATTCGCTCCCCGAGCTCATCCTCAGCCGTTTCGTCAAGAAGTCCCCGTGACGGTCGCCCATAATTGCACAGGCAAGTTCTCGCTCTGTTTGCATTTCTCCATCGGCATCGTCGGCTTCTTGTTCTTCTTCCACCACCTCGTCGCGCTCCGAGGGCGTTCTGAGGCAGAGTGAATTCAGGTTTCGGGCAAGCGCCTGTCATTCCGCTCCCTGTGCGCCGCTTCTCGCCACGCCCCCATCCATGCATGCCGCCTGTGCCCGGCACCCTCTGGTACTCTCTGCTCTTTTCCCTCAGGCATGTTGGAACACAGTTTCGTTCTGAAGTGCGTGGAGCGATCTCACCCGTCAGTGCAAGAAACACGTTCGATCCCCAGAGCTCTTCTCACAGTATTAGGCATTTGTCTTGCAAGGGACTAACGGACCGTTGGCTCCCTCACCACTTTAGGTTGGTAGTCCCTGGTTGTTACCATGTAGGCTCTGGATATTATCCCTGCTCTTTGTTTTCTCGTCCCTTTGATGGCCATGCCTTTCGCTGGAACGCGTGTAACGCGTGGCCGACCACGCCGAGTTTTGGATTTGGGGCGGGCATTTGCCGCTTCGGCTTCTACAGCCCTGGTGGCGATCAGGTGTGACATTTCTCTTCTTGCCGCGTTGTTCCCTTTTTTCCGCCTGTGATCCGTTCCCTTCCTGCTTGTTCCCCTCGCTCTCTCGCATCTGCTCTTGGTCCATTCCCCGCTTTCAGGTTCACCCCAGAGGGCTTCACTTTACTGTTAATCCACTGCTTGGTACTTCTGAGTTACAATACCCTTCGTGCCCGCAATATGTTCGGCCCTGGAGGTTGCGAAATTCATGCAAGCCCGAGCTAGTGGTCATGTCAAACGTCACCCAAAGCTGAGGGGTCTGCTGACTTCCTCTTGGGCCAGCGGGACGAGAAACACATCGGAAATGAGCGCTCCTCCTCCTCCCTCCCCCTCCTCCTCCTCCTCCTCCTCCTCCACTTCCTCCTCCTCCTCTCAAGGGGGGGGGGGTCGAACTGGCCCCCCCTTCTGTCCCCATGAGACGTGCAAGGGGAAAGGACGAGACGAACCAGCTCCCCCAACCCTTCGCAAGTGGCGAACGACGAAGACGACGCCGACGACGACGACGACGACGCCGCCGACGACGACGACGACGGCGACGGCGACCGCGGTGACGACGACGCAGGCGGCGACGACGACGCAGGCGACGACGACGAAGATGACGACGGTGACGGCTACGACGCCGACGACGACGCCGACGCCAATGCCGAATGAGACGACGACGACGACGGCGACGAAGATGACGGCGGCGAGGGCGATGGCGACGGCGACGGCGACGGCGGCGACTGTGACGACGACGGCGACGGCGGCGACTGTGACGACGACAGTGCAAACGACGAAGACTCCAACGACGACGACGTCGACGACGACGACGAGGACGACAGCGACGACGACGACGACGACGACGACGACGGCGAGGGCGACGGCGA